TAATGAATGTAAACGAAATGTTTTTTTCATTAAATAACATCTACGATGTTTCATTATAACATATGTTTGATTTTGTTTTTCTTTTCCTTTTGAATTTATTAATGATCGATGATTAATATCAGATTTATCTGATAATATTAATATATCATTATCATCTTCATAAAAGAAATCTTTTTGTTTAGAAATTTTTTTCTTTGATATTTTATTTGTATGTTGATCATTAAGTACTGCTGATGATATTATTAATCGTTGATCATTATTATTATTAGTAGTAGTAGTAGTAGTAGTAGTATTATTATTATTTGTTTTTGTTAATGATGAATCCATACATAAAGCAAATGTACCATCAGAACAACGTGTTACATAAAGTAGATCAAAAGATTTTGGATTTGAAGAATCATTTATATGTTCATGTACATTTAAAATATGTTTTTCAAACATATGTTGATTGAGATTATAATGTGAATATGTATAAAATGAACATTGATCACAAAAAAACATATGTGTAAATAGATGTTGAAGTAGAGTTGAACTTAAAATATAAATATAAATAATTTTATAAAAATTTTTCTTTCTGTAAAAATTTACCTTGTTACACTTTTAAATTTACATATATTACATTGATAATATTTTGAATCATGAAAAGCTGAAAATAAACCAGTACCATTAAGTATTTGTCGACGTATAATAGGTGTAGAATTATTTATTAATGAAGTTGTCGTTACTGTTGTTGTTGTAGTAGCAGTACCAGTTGATGATAATGATGTTCGTGAAGTTTTTTGTGTTTGTGGAATTATTTGTTGTTCTGGTTGTCGACGTACAGGTAATGGAGGTGAAGTCTAAATATATGAAATAGAAGAATCATTCTTGTTTTGAAAATCACAACGGATTAATTGACGAATACAAAAACTATGAAAATCAAATCGGTAATATAATTTTGAACAGTAGTGGATTTAAAGGGGAGAACAGCCAAAAAATGAGCCAATGTGAACTTAAAGATATGTTTTGTGATCATGCCTCCCCCCCCCCTTTTTCTTCATATTCTCAATTCGTCACTAATTTCGAATGTGTTCTAGTCAAGAAAAAGAAAGCAGATTGTATTCGGTAAATTTTATCTCATATCAAGAGACTTATAAGAATTCGAAATAAAAACATAAATTTATATTAGTATCAATCCTATGATCTAAAGAAGACCTTAATAGATATGTATTATCGTGCATACTAATAGAAGAAGCATAGAGTAGTAGATTTGAAACATTAATTACAGATACTGTTGTCAGTCATCAGTAGAAGAACACAATTACAATCGGTTTTTTTTCATGATAGAAATTTCTTCCACACAATACACCTGTCGTGATTTATATCATATGTACAATTGAGCTTATTCATTGTATGAAACATGATCTAAGAAGAATATTAAACTATACGGGTAGACATTTGGACCCTCCTTCATAAACGTCTTAGCAACGGGGTTATCACAGACATCATTAGCCCTTTGATAGCGAAGTTATTTTTAAATTTATAATTTTTGTACTTAAACTTGATTTAAAAATGCAATATAAGGGATCATCGCAGACATTTTAGTGACACCTTTGCACTGTGATATATATAACCGTGGGATCAAAGTCTACTGCAGGATAGTTGTTCTTTTACTTTTCTTCGACAGTCATGACAATATATTATAATTAATACGTTGCATTAACAGTAAATGGGAATTAATAAACGGAAACATATCTTCTCTTTTATAAAAAAAAAATCAACATTTCTATCGTGTTTTACATTTTAATCTTACTAAAAGCTTTTCTTTTTACGTGATAGAAACTAAACAGATATTAAATTCATAATTTTTTTTTGTGAAAATTTTTATTCCTATCTCATAATTTTTATGTTAAATATTAGCCTATTTTTGACATAAGAAAAATTGACAAGAATGACAATACTTAGTTCTTTTTTAATAACTTTTCTATTTACATCTGACATGAATAAAAAATAAAAGGAAAGAAAAATCTTCGAGACATATATGAATGATAAAACTTAAGTGGACTATCTTATCATGATTATTATTTTTCATCAAATACGAAATAAAAAGAAAGACAAATCTTACAGATTGTGTATATGAAATTCGAGAATTTTTCACTGGTCGACCACGTTGTACATTTGCTCGAAAAAAAGATGTTGTTGGTTTAGGTAAAGGTAATGAAACAAGTGCTAATGATGGTTGTTGTTGTACAGGAATAGCAATTGGTTTTCGTTGTTGTTGTTGTTGTTGTTGAATAAATTGATGATTTGAATTTGTATTATCTAGTTTATCAATTGAACGTTGTACTATATGATTCATATTTGAATTTGATATAGTCGAACCTCTTGATACTGTTTGAATAGGATGATTTGAAGATATTTTAGTTGGTAATAATGGGGGTGGTGGTGGTTGAATTGTCCAATCAAAAGAACAAAATGTAGGCGGATCAGGTTCTTCAATAATATATTCATCTGGATCAAGTAAAATTGGTTCAGGATCGGGATCAGTATCAATAAAATTTCTTGATGTTTGTTGTTGATAATGATCATTTCGTTGACGTTTTGACCAATTTACAATTGATGGATTAATACGTACATTTGTATTTGTTAATTTTCGTTTTTTATGTGACATATTCATATCATTTGAAGATGATGATGATGATGATGATGTTTTTATTAATGACATATTTGTTTCAACATATGAATTTTGTTTATTATGATTATTATCATCATCATCATCTCCTAAATATAATACAGGTGGTGATGATGAAAAATTCATCTATAATAAAAACATGAATATAAATCAATTAACATATAATTATCTATTAGATATTTTATTTTAATAAATAAATAAATAAATAAATAAGTAAATAGAAAAGAAAATAATAAAAATAAAATGAAATCAATCAAATATCGTTACTTTTGTGTTTCTTTTTAGAGCGCTACAAGCAAATACAAAATAATATATTACATAGCGCTAGAAAAGAAATTTTATAATTGGTTAATTGATTTTATAAGTGCACATTTTTTATTTTTAACACACTTCGACATTTTCAATTTTTGAAAATAGAAATGTTTTTTGGACTTTAAAAAACAATATGCTTCATTATGAAGGACTTGCCTAGGTAGCAAAGAGTAGAAGTTGTATTATAGTTTGATAAAGAATTTAATTTGTAATATATAGTTACACATGAATATTTAATTTTACAATTGTTTACATTTATTATTAATTAATAACGTTGGTAGTTTGTATTAATTAATTTTAAATTATTTTCTTTTAAATCATTCGAAAGTATAATTTAAATTAAAAAGACAAGAATTAATAAAAATATGTTAGTAGTTTTCAGTTAAGATTTGTGAAATGTTTGAAATTAGATTGATTAGAATTTTACGAAGGATAAACATTTGCCTGTATGTGAGATCTTTCTCAAGAACAAGTCAAGGATTTGATTTTTTTTCTTTTTCTATTCAAGGAGATTTGAGAGTGATAAGCGCTGATATATATCTCCCTGGAAAAAAATAGCTTAACTTTGTATTTTAGACATATCATTGTTATCAATTAGCATTTTTGGAAAAGTAATTATATATTCGGATAGCCCATGGAATTCTCTACAACTCTATATATGTACGTTTGGAATTGTATTTGTTTACTAAAACTAAATTCAAGCACAGTGACAGCACCGTTATCGTCAGATTCCCCAGACATGCTTTTTTTTAAATTCCTTTTTCATTCATATTTTTAAGTTTATTTTGAATATAGAAACATGTTATTACAAAAGTAAGTATATATTCTGAGAGCATGTAAAATGCTCTATCACTCTGTACTTTTGTCAGTCTTGTCTTGCAATTATTTGATAACAAATACTTCGAGTATTGTTAATGTTCCCCCACTGTAACACTCCCGCTCTCGAATACTACACATGAACTCATACAGCAACTCATGAATGGTCGTCTGGTAACTGAATAAGATTGTATGGATAATTATCCACGTGTCAGCCCTTATTTTAATGCTACTAAGAGTTGTTGGTCTATGATAAACCACTTTGGATAGAGATATGGTCTAAATTTTTAACAATATCTGACCTAAAAACGTGATGCATAGGTGCATTAACAATACTCAAAGTATTCTTTATCAAATAATTGCAAGACAAGACTGGCAAAAGTACAGAATGATAGAGTATTTCACATGCTCTCAGAATATATACTTACTTTTGTAATAACTTGTTCCTATATTCAAAATAAACTTAAAAATATGAATGAAAAAGAAGTTTAAAAAAAAACATCTTTGAGGAATCTGACGATGAAGGTGGCTTCATTGTGCTTGAGTTTATTTTTAACGAACAAATGCAGCTCCAAACGTACATATATAGAGTTGTAGAGAATTCCACGGGCTATCCGAATATATAATTATTTTTTTAAAACTATCGATTTATAGCAATGATATGTTAAAAATACAAAATTAAACTATTTTTTTCAGGGAAGTATATCAATGTTAACATAGAATGTAATGTTTTAGAAGAGCTGGCAATTCTGAATTCGAATCATGAGATAGAATAATATTGATTTATAAGAAAATTCATCAATGAAATTGATCAAACATTGCCTATATTTCTTTCGATAAAATCAATCAATTATACATTCAATGATATTTTCGTTAATAACTCAATCTAATAAGATCAATATCTGAAGTTTTACTATTTAATTGAAATCATACATTCGATAAAAATAAAATTTCAAAATCATGAGATTAAAAAAAGAATTGACTGCTTTTTAGCAAGAGAAATTTTCAAATGACAAATGTATATACTATTGATTTCTTAGATTTTACTTTTAATCGATCAATATTCTTAACTCTAGTCATTCTAATAATGAAAACCCTTTTTACACCTTATCATAGAAAACAATCGATTTTAACTTATTTATGAGTATTGAATCTATTTCATTTAATAGCAACGTTCGTTTGTCTTTTTGATCTTATATAAATGGCTACTTCGGTATCGGCTTCTTATTCTGCCGGTGATATGCCTCATGAAAAATGTCGACGATCAGTCTATCCTAATCAAAGTATTCCTTCATTACGTCGTGAACGAACAGTTATAGATGGAGAATTTAATCGAAATCAACAATTAAAACCAATCTATTCCAATGAATTACCAGTCAGATCTTCAGCATTTTCTGGTGGTATGTATGACTATTTCATTTTTGTTTTTGATAGAAATAAAATTTTATATAGAAAAACAATATGATCGACGTCAAATACCAAAAAAAGTTCGTTCAGCAAAATCAGACGAAGTAAAAAAAAAGCTTGTTTTTCTAAATTAAAATATGAATTCATTTTTATTTCATTTAAAGATCTTTCATTTAATCAATCGAAGATTACAAACAGGTGTTTATGGTGTACGTCATATGTTTCGTTCGAATGATCCAAATCAAGAAGGAAAATTATCTAAGTAAACAAAAAAAAAAAAGAAAATGTCAAAATCGAAATGATATATTTTCTTTCTCTATTAATTATATTCTCTATAGAGAAGCATTTCGACGAGTATTAATGCAATTATGTGGTTACATAAATGTTGAAGAATGGGAAAAAGTATGTAAAATGTAAGTTTATTGATGTTTTCTTTTTTTTTGTATATATACATCAATTTTTATTTACTTTTGTAATAATGATCAAAATTTAGGTTTCATATCAATGAACGTGATGATACTATAACATTTCAAGAATTTCTTTCTTATTTTCCGGATAATGACGTTAGAAAATTATATTTATAAAATATTGAAAATAATTTTATATTATTTATTTGATTTTTTTTTTTTAGAAAGCAAGACGTGAATTATCATTATCTCAAATAGATCGTCATAGTTCATCATTATTAACTTTAAGTCAAAATGCAACTTCTTCTCAACAATCATATCATAAACATAATTTACCTAAACTTACTGCTAATTATTGTTTTTCATTAATGAAAGCAAGATGTCGTGATCCGTAAGTGTATTCACTTTTTTTTCTCTAATTTCTTACAAGGAAAATCAAATAAACTTTTTTTTGTTTTTTTTTTTTTTTTTTTTTTCAAAATTAATTTTTATCTTTAGATCATTTACACCAAATGATTATTTACCATCTGATTGTTTAAATGATAGTGTTATTATACGTGATCATTTAAAAAAAATTTTAGAAAATTTTCAATTAGATGATATTATTCATAATGAAAATGAATTTGAAAAATTATGGTCAAAATTTGATCTTAATAATTCTGGTATAGTACGAACAAATATATTTCTTCGTTTATTAGATTATCGTATTAATCTTGCTGATGAAATTGATGCTAATATTCAAAAATTAGTAACACGTTCAGGTGCAGCTGGAATTGTTGATAGAAGAATTTCATCATCAACAGGTATAACAAATGGTTCATCACCATCAAGAAAACAAAGACAATTATCAACAAATAAAAATCGAGATTATTATGAAAATGATATACAATTTAAACATACTGCACCACCACCACCAACAGCTTTAGATGAACCATTAAATGAATCAATTAGACCTTTAATTGAACAACATATTAATGATAATGATGGTGATGAAAATTCAAATAAAATTTCATCGAGTATGAATTTATCAACAAGAGAATTAAGTACAAAATTTCGAACATTAGTACAACAACATAGAAAAATGATTAAACAATTAAATGAAAATGATGAATTTTTACCATTTCTTGATCGAAAAGTAAATAGATTTACTTATTTAATATCAAAATATGAAAGGATTCATGATAAACTTTATTATCTTTAAATAATTTCTAATTTTCGAAAAGGTTACAGCCAATCCGCATGAAATTCTTACCATAGATAAAGCATCTAAAATAAGGAGAAGGAAAAAAAGTTTTCGTGATTGTTCGGGAAACCTTGGTTTTTCCAAAGGATTACATTGGGCTTGCTTACGACCACCGTTTGACTTCGTTCACACATATTCGGAAGGGTGAAATCGATCGTTTTCGTTTTTGACCTTCCTAATCTGAATTTATAGAGCCCTGCACATCAGCTTTGGAAAAGATTAAAATCACATTTGATATAGAATCTAGGGTATCTTCAAAAAATCTCCAGTCCAATTGAATAAAGTTAGACGCGATTCATAAGTAGGTCCAATGTGGTCTTATGAACAACAAGAGTTTCTCGAAAAAAATTTTTTCTTCAAACATGTGTGTGTCCTTATTTTGAGTGTTCTATCTGTGGTTAAAAATTTCATATTGATCTATTGTACTCTCTTCGAGAACTAGACATGGTCAAAAAACAGAGAATGTTTAGATAGATAATAAATAGTAAGAAATCATACAAGTCTGTTTGAATCGTAGAGATGCCTGTTCAACAAAAAAATCTCTTTATTACACTTAAGGGAATATCGCCTTTTCGGATATTAAAATCAAGATTTTTTCGATTTTTGGATTTTTCATTCGAAGTGTTCTCTGTCAAATGCCATATAAATGAGGATTCTTCATTGTTAGTTAGTACTCTTTATTAAATCCAACTTTCAAAATCTCCAACAGAAAAATTCGCGCTGCGATTATTCTTTGTATGCAAAGATCTCCTAATAATAATTTTCAAAGATGCTGATAACATGACTCATGGACGTCTAACATCGCTGAACACAGCCAGTTGAAGTATAAAAAGTATTGATACATACAGGAATATTTGTTTCGTCATTTTTCTCGAAATCAATTTTTATACGCGATCAAATTCTTTTAGAATTTTTATTAGAATACATTTATAGGCAAAAAACAAATCATTGCAATTGGAAGAGAGGATAGTTGAAGAGATTTCCTTGTTAATCGTATCTAGCTAAAACATTTTGAATTAAAAATATTTATTTATGGTTTAATCTATTTACTTTAAAAATAAAAATTATTTCATACTAATTTTTTTTTAGGTAAATGAAGGTTATTTCTGTTTGAAAACAGTTTTTTCATATTTGGATTCAAATCAAACAAATTTTATAACTAAACAACAACTTATTGTTGCACTTCATCAATTTGATATTCCACTTACACTTGATAATATTGATCAATTTTTACAAAAGTATATATAAAAAAGAAAAGCCAATAAATAACAAATCTTAATCAAAACATATTTTTCTCTTTAGACATCATTGTATAACAACAAAAACTATCAATAATGAAACTATGATTGATTATAATGGATTTTTAAAATATTTTCAAGATCGTTCAGAATCAAGTTTTCTTGCTCATACTCTTAATATATTTAGTAAAGAAAAGTAAATAATTTAAAAAAAAAATATATATTTTTTCAATAATCGACATATTTTTTTTTTTTTTGTAAAGATCAATTACAACAAAATCAGATTTTAATAATATTGAAAATGGTATTATTGATTTATTACATCATGTTTTTCTTTCTCTAACAGCTGCATTCAAGTTTGTTATTCTTTTGTTATTTTTTGCATATAAAAGTTTTGCTATTTAAGATATATTTCAAATGATATTGATGATTTATGTCCAGAAAAAGAATTATTTATTATATTAAAAAAAGAACTTAATATTGCTGATAATTATCGTTTTACTGAAAAACAAAAATCTGAAGTTTATAATTTATTAAATTGTACTGATGCGATGAAACAAAAACGACAATTACCATATAAACGTTTGTTATATTTATTTAGTAAAACGTTAGTTTTCATATTTTTTTGATTTGAATTGATTATTATTATTATTATTATTTTGTAGGACAATACCAATTAATAAAGAACGAAATATTGAAAAGAAGGAAGAAAAATGTATTGAAAAAAAAGAAGAAAAATTTATTGAAAAAAAAAAAGAAGAAAAATCCATTGAAAAAAAAGAAGAACAAAAATCATTAAGAAAATTATCTTATGTAAATAAAAAATAAGTGATTTGTTTTTTTTTTTTTTATTTTTTTGATAAATTTAGATTGAAAAAATTTTAAATGATTTAATTCGTCTTCGTATGCATACATTTACTAAAGTATTTTCTCGTATTGATCAACCACGAACAGATAAAATTAATAAGGAACAATTTTATGAAGTTCTTCAACAGTAAAATTAAAAAAAGAAAATTATTTGTTTTTTTTTTTTTAAGAAGAATTTTCTCTTTTTATAATAGAATGAATACAGATTTAACACAATCAGAAGTAAATATGATTTGGTCATCAAGTGGTTTTCATATGGATAAAAGTGTTCCATTTGCAAATTTAATTCGACAATTAATTATGTTTAATAGAGATGAAAATCAAGCCATGCTTAATCAATGTAAGATATCGAAAATTTGAAGCAAAAAAAAAAAAAACAAATTGTCATCGTTGGATAGAATTCGTCGAGTTATCTATAAAAGTGTTGCTTTTGGCATAAAACTTAGGTCTAAAAAAAATTTCAGAAAAATCCTATAAAAATTGATGTGCACGTCAAATGCATGAAGTCTTAATATTTATTCGAATTTTTTTAGATTAGATAGCAAAAAAAAAAAAAAGAAAAACTGATTTGTGTTTAAAAAATTTTCATAATTAGAAGTTCAGAGTTACTAAACTACTAATAACAAATCTGTTACCAATTTACACAGTAACGAGAAATAAAACTTTTTGCGGAAATAATAATTTTTTTTTTTCAGAAACTTTGGTTAAAGGTGTTCGAGGTGAAGAAATCTAAATCTGTGGTAGATTTGCCTAAAAGGTCGAGTAAGAAGATTATTAGAAATCCTTCATAAATTTGGATCTCAAATCTTTCATCAAAGTTTAAATAAGAATGTTATTTACACAATACAAACCACTCCTGAACGAAAAACTAAACTCACAAATTTCCGTTATCAGTTACTTGACATCATAATGAGAACTGTGTAGAAATCGAGCGTTACATCGACGCATGTCTATCATTCACTGTTAATTTCGAATGATCTGATCTGTGGTTTCCCTAAGGTCGAAATAATAATATTTTTTAGGAAGTATGAATATCCTAACTGTAAACTCAAAAAACAAATATTTGGATAAATATTGAGGCTAATGAGACTTTATGTGTTTAGTGTAGACTTTCGAATCTAACTTTCCTAATTTTCACTACGAAAATATCGTCTGAATATGTCGAAAACAGCACTTTTACAAGTAACTCGACGGGTTCTATCCAACAACGACAGAAAAAAATTCAAATATCGACACCTTATATTCTATAAATAATTTTTATTAGAATCTTCGATTGTTTCATATATATTTAGTCCAACGTTCTCGATCAACACATGATCATCAGATTTCATCAACAGCAAGATCAATAATATCATCATCAACAAGAGCTATATCATCATCAGGAGGAATAAGTGATATATCAAATAGTGGTCAATCAATAGATTCTCATGAAATATATAATCGTATTCTTCCATATGTAAGATATTAAAGATAATTTTTCAGACTTTCAAGTATTATTTATATTTAAGAATAATTTTCGATAATAGCAATTTGTAATGAACAAAAATTTTAGTAAATTTGATATCAATCTAGACAAAATTATATTAAAATTTATTAGTATCAAACCTACAAGATTCTGAAATCTTTTTTTTTTTTTTGATTTATAAAATAATTCACTATAAATCATAAAACATTTAATTCGAAGAACAATTTTCTCGTTCTGTATACAACGTATCTTCGTTTATCTTTACTATTTGAATCAATTTTATCAACTAAGCTCTTTTTAAATGATAATTCCATATACCAAATTTTTATTTATACAAACAAACTTCAAAACAATCACCACCTAAGCTAAAATACGAAAATTTAGTCCTTAGAAAAACATTTTACCATGGTTCGTTTTTTAATTATATGACAATTTCTTGAAATCATTTTGATCTTTTTGATAGATATTTGTTTTGATATATTTTCATAAAAAGAAATTCAATGGTATTAAGTCTAGTGATCCTGAAACTCATGAGATCACAAATTGTCTTCTAAGCGACGTTCTGATACCATACGGTGCTAGGAAACTACTTTCTGAGTAATTCCATTTTTTCTATAAAATTAGACAGAATAGCCTTTGGATCATGATCAATGGTTGGATCCTTAAAAACTAGTCCAACAATCAGTTTGCTTGGGCATAACACATTACTCAATAAATTTTGATGAGTGCATTGCAACTTTGAAGTGGCGTATAGATCATACTGAATCTAAATACGGTAGCTGTTTTCATTAACCAATGCAATTAGTAAGCGTGTTAGTAACATTCCGCAAAATGAAGCAATTAAAAATAATCGTTTTATAAAGTCTTTCTATATGTAGAAAAAAAATTCTTGGTTCCCTTCATCGAACTGCATTGAATTTTATAGAAGATCCCAAAGTGTCAAACACGATGAAATCATTGAAATTTTTCATAAAAACAATGTTTTGATGAACCTTCTATAAATTAAATACAGTTCTATGAAGAGATCTGAGACATCTCATTTTACTTTCCAAAAAACTTCATTCATATAAATCTATGTTTTTTTTTTCTCAAGATTCGTCAAAATTACAATAAAATTACAAATAAATTACTTGAAAATGATCCAACAGCATGTGGTTTAATAGATTTTTCAACATTACAAGTAAATAGTATCTATTTAAAATCGAATCTAATTCTAAGATATATTTTATTTCAAAGAATATTTTTCATCATTATTCTGTTCCAATTAATGATATAGAATTAGGTACACTTATTCGTCTTGATAATCCACGTAATGGATCAAAAATTCAATATCCATTTTTTATACGAAAATATCATCCTGATGGACCTATTATAAAAATTGTAATTTGAAAAAATTTATAATGAAATATTTTAATTTATTAATATTATTTTATTTTAGAGTCCATGGTTACGTATTCATCCAATTTATGAACAATTAATTCAAAAACAACATGCAAAAGTAATTTTTAATAAATATAAATATTATATTATATTATTTAATTTATTAAAGCATCCAATTAAAGAAGTTTATGATCAACGAACGCAGGTTCGTTTTATAATATTATCTATTTTCAACACAATATATTATATTAGTATCACTCCTATGCTTTTTTTTTTTGCCTACTATTCAATATTTTTTTTGTTATAACTATTAATGATGTGTGTATGTGTGTAGAATTTTCGTTCTTTTCTTTTTTGCACTTGCCTTTCGCTATTTTGCTCTCAAGCAATCATCATCATCAATAACCTCAATGCTTATGTATAACCGCACCGGGAATAAATTATGAGTATGTAATAAAGAATATTATTTAAATTCTAATTGATTTTTATATTGAAAAATTTGTATTCTATTTATCTATTATAGAATCCACGTGATTTAAAATATCTTATTCGATTATTTAATTCATATGATAAACCACGCAAAGGTATAGTATAGACAAAAATAAATCATATGAAGAAAAAGTAAAATTTGTAACAAAAAATAAGGAGGATACTTGATTTAATAACGTCATGTTATTTTCTATATGAATCAGTGTTCGATATGGATCAAATTCTTGTGATCCGACTCGTGGTCAACTCGTTTTTTTTTTTTCGTGATCCAAGTCGGATACTGATATGAATATCCTTGGTATTCTTTTCTTCAATCTCTTCAAAAATAGAGACTTCTTATTGAAGTTCAAAAATGGATGCTAATTCTTATATAGAAATGTTACAATCTTATTTATCTACGAACGACGTTGCATGTTCAAGTTTTAGAATGATTTTCCAAATACAATAAAAAAAAAAAAAATTCCTAAATAAGTTTCCATGTTACAATAGTCGTTCTCATCAATTAGATAGTTGCATTTATTCACTAGACATTTCAATTCTCTTAATATTGACTAAACCGAGTCTGAGTTCTGAACTCGTTGAAATTTCGATAACAGATTCACCCTAGTGTTTTAACCGAAATTAAAATCGTCACACTTTGCTTACCCACAAATTTAAAACAATTGCACCAGTGTCTTACATACAGACATGCCACTGGAGATAGCAAACGGAGATGTCCATCGCGACTGAAAATCTACCGCTGCCGCGCCGCCATGGACATCTCTGATAGCAAATATACAGTACAATATTTTCCATGGATATACAAATATTGGCGTAGAGAGAACCGAAACTCATTCATTTTCGTTCAACTGTTTTGTATTTTAACAATATATAGGCATTAAATAGGAAAGGAGTGGATATGGGTGTTAGTCGTTTCTTCATTCCCACTTACACTAGAGCCCGTTCGGATGGTCCTGGTCTGAACATTTAGGACCTGACAGGCTCTTATCAGCATCATTTATATTCAATTTTTTTTTTTGCATGCTTAACTTTTCGATGCTGAATGTTCGCCAATCCTATCAAAATTGAACACACTTCTATAAGAAAAGATTACAATTGATATCAAATTTTTTCCTCCATGTGTTCATGGATCATTTCATTTTTAAGATATCGGAGAAAGAAATTCCTCATTATATGATTTATATCTCTCTTATATTATTAATGTTTGAGATATGAAAATTACAGATTATATTTCTCCCGTAGGCAAGAGATTATATGTTAAACATTGAACGCTTTCAGAGATTGGTAATTAGGAAGAAAAAGTTTATGTATTTATATATAGATGTCACTAATCTATTAATATATTTTAGGCTTTTTAACAAATCAAGAATTTTATTCGTTACTGTCTGACAATGGCATCAATTTGAATAAATCTGACGAAGATTACTATCAACTCTTTTCGAAATATGACAAACAATTACGTGATCAATTTAATTATACGGATCTATTTCGTACGATGATTAATACTGTCATGTCTTAAACAAAAAACAAAACACTATACTTTACAAAAAAAAAAAAAAAAATTTTTTTTTCTTTTTAAACATATAACTTTTTATCTTTTTCTTTTTAAATAAATAATTTTTCTTAATTAAATTAATATTTGAAAAAAAAACAAAAAAAACTTCAAAAAAGGTACAACAGATGGTCACTAACAAATCAAACCACCTGTTTCATTCGCTCAGCATGAGATAACAATAAAATACTTCTTCGTTCTCTTTTTTTTTCTTTTTCACACATTCATTTAGCATGTCTATATATATTCTTTTCTTTTCTTCATCGTTCAAATTATTCGATTGCCGATGTCCTTGATTTCGTTTCTTTTGGCTAATCGTATGCGCGTTGTTCATGCAAAGGAACGCAGTGATACATATAGTCATTGTTCAATTTTCTACATGCATAGCAGACGAGAAAACGGACGAACAGAACGAATACATACATACATTTTGAATGTTCATTGTATCATTTTTTTCTTTTTTTGGTGTTCGATTGATTTTTTTTTTTAGATGAAAAGAATCTTTTATTAGAAATGATATCAAATCGGTAGGTTTTGCAATAATTTGATCTGTTAATTAATAATTAAATTTTATTTTTGTTTAGAGCAAGTTCTAGTCGAAGTAGTTTTACTGAAGATGAATCTGATCATGATGAAAATTTATATATAATAAAAAAAAAAGTTTCATCAACAAGAAAAAAATCTTATAAAAAATGGATTAAAGATGAAGTATAAAAAAAAAAAATCCTAATTTTTCTTTTTTTGTTATGATTATTATTTTTCAAATTAGGATGAACGTTTAAGAGATTTTATTAATTTAAATGGTGGTATAAAAGATTGGTCACGTATATCAAAATATGTTGGTAATGGCCGTACAGATGCACAATGTCAACATCGTTGGGAACGTTTTCTTGATCCATCAATAACAAAAGGACCATGGACAGATGAAGAAGATAAAAAAGTTATTGAACTTGTACGCGATTATGGTGCAAGACAATGGAGTTTAATTGCAAAAGAATTAAAAGGACGAGTTGGAAAACAATGTCGAGAAAGGTTTGAATGAAGACATTTTAATAAAAAAATTTTTTTTTTTAATGTATGTATATTAGATGGCATAATCATCTTAATCCAGCAATTAATAAAAATCCATGGACAAATGATGAAAATCTTTTATTATTTATTTTACATCAACATTTTGGAAATAAATGGGCAGAAATAGCAAAATATTTTAATGGAAGATCAGATAATTCAATTAAAAATCATTGGAATTCTTCAATGAAAAAAAAATTTGAATTAGAAGTAATAAATTTAAAAAGTCAAGGACTAGAATGGACTGCATTGTAAGAATAATAAGAATACTTTGTTTGTTTGTCTTTTTTTTTGAATTCTAATCTTTTCTAGAATTCCACCTGATTTTCCATGGCCTAAATTTGATAAATTATCTTCATCTCGACGACCATTAAATACAATAACAAATCGAATACAACCTTCAAATACAAAACGTTCTTCCAGAACAACAACAACAACAACCACATCTTCACCTGCACCGATTAATAAAATTCAAATTCATTCATCAATTGTGAACAGTGATAATGATACTAAACATCATTTTTATTCAACAACTGATCACAATACTTTGAATGTTTCATCTTCACATCCTCTTGCAACGGTTTATTCAGATCATTTACAAGTAGAATAAAAAACGAAGATTATATTACTTATGATAAAAGCCTCGAATTATTAAATACTATTTATAGCTTGAATTTTCTTATTTTAGCAGATACGAGTCCGTTTTCTTCCTGGTCTAGGTTCCAATGACTGGCGGCAACAAAGTGGGCTGAAGGGATTTCAGCCCTCCGACTGAAAACTCTAGTGCCGCCGTTGGTTCCAGTCTTGATCTAAACAAAAATAGGCAGGATCCCTGTTTCGCTTTCGGTCAAAAAGGAACTTGTCTAAGTCTCGGTACCGTTGGAAGCCGGATCATCTGGTTAGGGAACAGTGAGGCCACTTTTTTGTGGTTTCGGTCCCGTTAAAATTTATATTGGTTCTGGTCCTGATTTCGTTTCCAGAACAAAAAAACGATTTTTTTTTTTAATAATCTGTATGATTCTTTGAATACATATAAAATTAATATTGATGATTTTGAGAATTTAATAGTATAAGCATACCTTTATATGCATGCATCAAAACTAAAGGAATGCAAAATTTTCCTTGGTTCTAACCGTATGATTTAGAAAAATCTTTCAGAACTCACAGTTCTTACATAGATATAAACTCTACATGAGTGATCTTCAACCAGTGTTCTCTCAAGAATCACTTTGATAATATTAAAATTTAAGATCTGCAGAACTATGACTTACTTTTTTTTTAGTAGGGACGTCCAAAATAGTTCCGTTCAGGATCGAAAAAAGTGATTTTGCAGCGCTCCATAATTTTACTTTAATCATAAATAAAAAGAATCAATTCGTAGATCATTAGTCAAAACAAAATAATAAGTATGAATATATATATAGTCTAGTTCTAAAACAGAAAATATAATGGGATTAGGTTTAGCAAGTTTCAAGTTCCGGTCTCGATAACGATACTTTGCAGTTCCCTACATCTGACCCATATTTATATAGTTGTGACACTATAACATTCGACGCAAGTTTTATATGACCACGAAGTATCGTTCCCAATGAAAGTATTGATCCTGAGAACATCTTGTCAATATCTATGTGTTATATTTTAAGTATATAATTCAAAGAACTTTACAATAAAGTGCTTTTGATCTTTGTGAACAATCCCCTACAGCAAGCAGAATAGGAACGCTTTTAACATTAAAGAATGACTTCTAAATTTGATATTTTGTGCAACTTCGACAATTTTTTAGAATCAGCCCATTAGTATAACTCAATCTCTCATACAGTTTAGACGAAAAACTTTGATTAGTTTTTCTTTCGAAATATATCTCTCTGAATATTACATCAAAATTTTGAATTCTTTTTTAGCCTATATCTTCGTCGCAAACATCATCTGATGTACAACAACAAGAATGTTCATCACAAGAATTAGAACATCTTTTTTATTGTACACCACCATCTCCTGTTAAACAATTACCTATGCTTTCATCATGTGCAGATTATACATCATCAAGTCAAAATTCTCAAACTGATCATCATATATCATTATTTCATAATACTCTTGATTATTATCCATCACATCCACCATCTCGTTCATCATCATTACCTGTATTTACATGTTCATCATCTTCATCAGCATCATCACATTCAACAATTTTATCAAATGATACAACAAATCATAATGAAAATCGAAATATATTTACAACTGATGATACATTTACACTTAATTTTAATTCACAAAATGAAATTAAACAAGAAAATGAACATTTATTAATTGATCTTACACAATCGGAATCAAATCATGATATTGTTATTTCACCTAAAACTATTTCAAATACATCATCACCATCAAAACATCGTGTACTTAATACACCTGAACGTTTAGATCAAGTAAATTTTTTCATTTTTGATCTTTTAAATAAATTAAAATTTTTTGTTTTTCAAGCCACATCGAAATCATTTAACAGAACAAGATTGGTTTAAGTAAGTTAATTATATATATATATATATTCAATCATTTGATTTTTATTTATATAGTGATTTTCTTGCATATCCTGATCCAATAACAACAATTCTATCGGAAAATCATTCATCTATACGACCGACTATTGTACGACGAAATAAACGTTTAGATAAATATCAATCAACAATAATTGAAACAAAAAAACGAGAGAATTTTTCAAAGAATTTATTTAATTCATCAAAAAAACTTAAAGAAGAATTAGGAGTAAGAAAAATAAAAATCTTTTTTTTTTTTTTTTTTTATAAATAATCTTTTTTCTTTTTTTGTTTATTTAGTATGATCCAACTTATACAGAAATTTTAATAGGTCAAACACGTGATCAACGTTATGTAACTGAACAAGCTCGACGATATCTTTCTTGTTCTTCATTAAATAATTATAATTCATAGAAAAATCAAACATTTTCTTTTTCTTTTCTTAAGCATTGCGCTTTTTCTTTTTTTTGCTTGTACAATTTGTTTGACATTTTTAGTCGAATGTTATTCAAAAACGAAAACATTCGGTTACAGAATTCATACAGTTAATGCATCATTTTTTTTCCCCTTTTTCGTCTTTTTCTTTTTTCATTATGTATATGTCATCTATATATTGTCCCTCGTTATTTATTGCTAGGGTCAGACTTTGTTTGTTGTTGCTTTTTTTTTCTCTCTGTGTATGCTTTTTACTTGCATCTATGTATATAATCATCTGTGTGTGTGTGTGAACTACTATTTTTGTCTTGTTGATTATGTTAATTAAAAAAGAAAAATATACCTTAGAAAATAATAATAATAATAATAATACATTGAATGATTTTATTTGGCTTGAAGGAAGACAAATAAAACTTTCATGAGGAATGAGATATATGCAAATTTCATGTGGGAATTAATATGTACATATCATTATGTGATTCTGAGACAAAAATGAAATGAGAAATCAGGTATTCACTGATAACTTCTATGATCTGGTAAGGAGATGCTGATATCCAGTATTTTAATGGTCGTCTCGTTCGAAGGAGATTTATCTACGTCGTAGGATCTATTATGGCTGAACGGCTACGTAGTCCGACAGGTACTATATTCAAATCTATGGAATGACTAGAGTCAAGTTACTGACGGTTGTTTGTATCGGATTACCCGTCCGATCACATGATAACTACAATGTGACATATGCGTGTTCTTGTGGCGCGTTAGTGTGTATGAGTAGCGCAAGAAGTCTGCGTCAGGTCGGTCTTCTGTCCAGAAATACAGCTAGTATTACTTGTAGGAAAGATATCGGACTATTGAGTCTGCCGCTAGGCAACACTCCATTTCGAAAGGCAGGGTTATTCTTCCTTGTTCCTCCATTGTAGAGATTTGTGGAATCAAATTTTTTTTGGTTTCGATCTAGAGAAAACTATTCTGGCATTTATTTGTATTACATTTAAAAGTCTTGAAATACTATTTTGGGTCATCTCACTCGAATTATGTTCCGATTTATAAGGTAATTCGTTTATATTTTCTGTCGGGTGGTTACGGACTCGGCAACACTTGAAGCTTTAATTCCATACATCTCTATTCTGTCGTTCTTTTCTATCAATACATCTCAGATTTTTTTTGTAAAATTGAATATCTCTTTCAATATATTTAAATGTATGTTCACATTTCATGATATACTTTGACTTCTTTTTCACACAAAAAATTTTTTTTTTGATTGATGATTAAAGTAGCGCCGTTATTACCTTATGACATTTGAATAAACAATAGAATACCGATCTAAAGAATGTTGATAATCCTGTCAATCAGAATGTGAGATCTATTTTATAGAGATAGGTCATTTTTAGTATAGAATGTAAATATCAATAACATGAATGATTTTATTGAATAAGCTAAAAATCTTTTATAATGTTGATCTACATTCTATCATGATTGTTGTGGTACTTCAAGTTAAAGTTTCGCAGTAAAAAAAAAGCCCTGTTCGCAAGAAGATTTGTAATCAGGCATAGTGTCGATACTCAAACTCTCACTTTAGTAGCCTAAACAAAGGAAGGTTAGATGGAAACCTTCTCAAGAGAAGACTTGTTAAGTGTGCTGAGTCTTCTAGAGTTTTTTTCTAGTTAAGCTTAGAGGTATAACTCAGCACTGGAAGCAGAGGAGGCGTTACCCTCTCTCAATAGGCTACATTTCTGATTAAGTAACTACTCGATCTCATATAAAAATCGTAGCATCCTTTAGAACATGTTCCTAACTAGAAAATTTCATTATATTTGATCACTATTTAATTTTCTCTGTAATTTATTTCAAATATATTAATTATTTATGAATGAGTCTCTTGTTTATAGCGACATCTCTATAGTATTTTTGTCATTCTATTTATATTTCGACCAGCAAGAAAGTGATGTATCATGTTTAGATGATAGATCGATTAATTAATATTTTGTTGAGACAAAGATTATTAGAAAAATGAGTTTATCCTATGCTGAAAGTCTTTCTTATTTTCCACATAAAGGTAAAGTTGGTATGCCTGAATTAAATGAAAAAGCTGATGATTTAAAAAGTAAAAAATAACTCAAATTTTAATGTTTTTTGTTTTTTTGTTTTTAATTTTAATTATTATTTATCTAGGTAAATTAGATCAATTTGAACAAATGATTCGTCAAAGTCATCATACTGTTGTTATTACTGGAGCTGGTATATCAACAGATGCTGGTATTCCAGATTTTCGAGGACCAAATGGTTAGTAAATTTGAAGAAGAAAAACTAAAATTTTTTTGTTTTTGTATTACAAAAATTATTTTAGGCGTATGGACATTAGAAAAACGAGGTGAAAAACCTTCATTTAATACTAGTTTTGATAAAGCCTTACCAACATATACACATCGAGCTTTATGTAAATTAGAAGAAAATAATTATTTACATTTTGTTATTAGTCAAAATATTGATGGTCTTCATCATCGATCAGGATTACCATTAGATAAATTAGCTGAATTACATGGAAATGTTTTTTCAGAAGAATGTGAAGCTTGTCATACACAGGTTTGTTAATTTTCCAAAAGTCTAAATATTAATTTGAGTTAATAAATTTGTTGCTTATATTTCAAAAATCGTCAAAAGGAGTTTGTTTTTGTTTCATTTTGCACGATATTTAAACTGAACTCGATTATAATAGTACAATTTTTATTCCATTATAATCAAATTCTGAATTTACGTTTTTTTTTTTTTTTTCTAATTTTCAGTGTTTTCCTCATATCTCTTTTATCGATTTTTACCCACTGGTTAAGACTCATATGTTATTATTTGTTAGACATGTACTTTTAATATGAGAAGAAGCTTTGACTCTTCTCGAACTCGAAAGAGTTTATATTAAACAATGATGAATTAGCATGAGTAACACATTCGTAAATTCTAATGAAATCAATCGAATATTTGGAATTACATAAATGACATATGTTCGGGAAGAAGTGTTAGTTTTATTTCTTGAATCAAAGTATATTTTCATATGTTATAAGGCACAATCAAAACTATGTTACTTGAACTAAATTTATATCATATATGTTTTGATTAAAGATCAAATTTAAGTTTGAATCGTTACGTTCGAAGAGAAACGTTAGATTTGTCTGCAATTGATGAGTGAATGACTTTTTCTTTCTACGGTGTATATAGAAATATCACATATTCATGTTTGAGAAATCTAATATATATATATGATATCTTTCCTTGAGACTTGTAAAAATCTGAGTATAAAAAGGAAAATGAATGTTTTTTGAAGCTATTTCTGATTAATTGATTAATAATGATCGAATCAACCGGTCTGACTAGTTCAAGAATTGTCAATCGATTACAATTCTGATTCAGTCTGCTCTGATGACGATCTCTCTAATCTTTTTTCCATTTCTTCAAAATGACAAAAAAAATAGAGCTACTTAAGAAAACCCCCTCCAAGTAAAAATTTCACCTGGATACATTGAATCTACGAAGCGTTCGCTTAAGATTATAGGTCAAAATATACATCCTAAATATCTTCTCCATTTTAAATGCTAGAAAGTTCGGATTGGTTTTAAAATGTATTCAAGATATGGCATTACAATTTAATAGAGCTCAATGTTTTTCCTAATTTTGTGTTTATAGAAAACTCCTCTGATCAAATACAGAACATCCAGGAGGTGTACGTTCTAAAGAGAAAATCGAAAAATTCGACTCTGTTAAGTTGTAGAGCTAATTTCTGCTTTCGTTTTGACACTAAGCCTAGATTTCCAGTGTTTAAAATCAAAAGTGAGAAAAGCACAAAAATAAATTTCAAGATTTTCTCTTCTTTGAATTAATATAAAAAGAACCTTCGAGTAATTTGTCATCGATCATCGATCAGAACGAATCAAATAAATGCATATAAATATGTACAAAGAGAATTTTTTCTGTTTCCATAGGAACGTTTTAGACGATGCCGAGATATCAACAAAAAATCACGTGTTTAAAAAAAAAAAAACTACAAAATTCATCTGAATCAATATACATCATGTAGAAGAAATATTTTCAATTTATCTAAAACACTTCAAAATATATTCTACCCGCCATGATAAAAGACTTTAAAAACTAAAGTTTTTAGTAAAAAAAAAAAGACATGTTATTTTCTTTTATATGAGAATTCAGAAAAACCTATGTAATATTCTTAAATCTCATCATAATATTAATAAACTATAGTGCATTCGAGACTAGACATTTTGCTCTATTTAACGAGCTATAAATCGATAAATTTGATCAAAATTGACGTTTTCAAAGGGGAAGTGGGGGCTTCAAACATAGTCTTAAAGGTATCAAGGTGAACACATGCAATCCAAATATGATTATCCAAAAAAAAAAAAACTAAATTCTATTTGATTTTCTTGCATTTCCTATTTCTGAACCATGGATATATCTCATTATCTTTTATTTAGACAATTCGTCCAACAAGTATTGGTTCTTATTGTCGTAAACGAACGGGTAATGTTTGTAATTCAATGAAAGGTCGAAATAAAAACTTATCATGTCGTGGAAAATTACGTGATACTGTTCTTGATTGGGAAGATCCATTACCAGAATTAGCACTTAAATTATCTGAACAACATTGTGCGTAAGTAAAAATAAAAATGAATGTTTTTTTTTTTTTTTTTGAATATTTAAAATAGTGTTTTCTTTTTAATTTAAGTAAAGCAGATTTATGTATATGTTTGGGTACATCATTACAAATTCGTCCTTGTCGTGATTTACCAAGAAAAACGAAAAAAAATGGTGGAAAATTAGTAATAATTAATTTACAAAAGACATCGTTAGATTCATTAGCTAATCTAATTATTCATGAACGATGTGATTATGTTATGAAATATATTTTAGAAAAATTAAATTTAGAATTTGATGAAAAGTATTTTAAAATTTTTTATTATTATTATTTTTGATTTTAAAATTTATTATAGATCAACTTTATTTAATATATCAAAATATTCTCATGTGAAAAAAGTAATTCTTCTTTATGGTAAATCAAAATCAGGAAAAGATTATATTGGTAAAAAATTAATTGAACAATTTCCTGCATTATTATTACATATAAATGAATCATTAAAAGTTGAATATGATAAAATACATAATGAAGATTTATCTGATACCTATCAAAAAAATATGATTAAGTATATTAAATTCTTTTTTTGATAAAAAAAAAAGAAAGAAACTAACGATTGAAATTATTATATTTAGATGGGAAGAAGAAAAATGTCGTGAAGATCCAACAAGATTTTGTCGAATAATGATTGAACAAAATGATCAATTATGTCTATCACATCCAATATGGATTATTAGTGATATTAAATCATATAGAGAAATTGAATTTTTTAAAACATATTTTCATGATCGTTTATTAATTATTCATATTGAAGCATCAAATGATATACGACAAAAACGTGGTTGGAATTTACAATCTGATATTAATTATTCGGAATTAGATAAAAATATTCCATGGTCATTTGTTTTTTTCAATAATGAGCAAGATAATTTTAATGAACAAATGAATGATTTAATGAAAATAATTAATTCTTAATAATCTACTGTTGTTTTTTTTTTGTTGTATACTTTTCAATATAGAATAATATCATCAAAGATAAATTCATTTTTCTATTTATAGATTATGAATGGATCATTTGTCTTATACTCAAAATGACTCATTCATTGAAATGAATTCAAAATCTGACGAAGATGATGAACTTGATCCTCGAATTCAAGTTTGTTTTTCGAAATTTTCATTCCTTTTTTTTTTTTGTTTTAAATAATTCTTCTTGATATAATTCAGATCGAATTAGACCGATTAAATTATGCTAATGAAGCTATCAATCAATTAGAACTTCAACTTGATGTAATTTTCAAAAAAAAGTATAAATTCTTTTTCTTTTTCTATTTCTTATTTTTAGGAAGCACGAAAAATACACGATGAATTTAAGAAAAAATCAGAAACAGAATTATTTCAATTAGAACAAAAGATTGGTGAAGCTGTAGCCAAATCAAGAGGTTATTATGATGCTCGAATTAAACTTCGAGATGTTAAAGACAAATTAGTAAAAGCTAAAGATCGATTTGAATGTGCACAAGCATTACATGTTGCTGCTAAAGAAATAGCTAGTGCTTCGGTAATAATAAATTTTTATCATTTTGTATTTATATAATTTAATTTTCAAGGCTGATTATATTGATGAAGCAGCAAGATCACATCAAAATACAACAGCATGGAATGAAACATATCTTCAAGCTATGGCAAAAGTTTGTTTAAATAATTTCATTTAAAAAAAAAGTAAAATAAAACTATTTGATTTCTTTTTTTTTTTTTTTGAGGCAAATGCAGCTGAACAAGAAAAATATCAAGCTGATTTAGATCAACAAAGTGTTGAAAGAGTTTATTTTGATATTGAACAATTAGTTTTAAAATTACAAAAAGAATGTCGACGACCGATTAATAAATCAAAGTAAGAAAACTTTTACGTATAAAACAAAAAAGATAATATGCTGTTTTGTTTTTTTTTATAGACCTTATTATGAAATGAGAGTCGAACATCATAAAGAATTAGATGTAAGTCAAATAGAGGTCACGAAAAAAGTATATAGGAAAATGTTTTGCAAAGTTAATACAAATTTAACAAAATCTTGCTAGTCTTACTGGATAATAACGGTTAATTTTTTTTTGATTATTAAGATATGTACATCAGGGCTTGAAATGGATCGCTTGGTCCGAACTTTAGTTAGTTTTACAAGGGAAGGTTTTCCGAGTAAGAAAACAGAAAACATCTGATCTTAATCGATTTTATTCGGATTTTTCGTCAAAATTTCTTACATGGATTTTGCACCTTGCAATTGGTAACTAGGCATGTATCGAGTCTGAGTAGCTCGGGCTCAATACATGTCTACTGGTAAGAATCAAGAATCTTTATAATGCGAACGTTTTCAAAGTTTCATTTAGCTATTAAATAAAAGTAGAGTATTTATTCATTTCAATAATATCCCTCATCGGCAAGAAAGACCGAGTTTACTATCAACTGCGTTAAGCTACATAATTGTTACTAAGATTGACCAGTGTAACTAAAAATAGTGACCAATCTGACTCATTGAAATTGCTCAGCGGGCATTTTACTTGTGAAAATTTTTTGTTAAAAAATGATAGTCTTCAAGAAGTTGAAATACCTACAAATGTACGCTGTTTTTTCAAGCATTAAAATTGTCCGACCTAATTCAATTCGTGGCCATTATGATAATAAACTTTTTACAATGTTCTAATAAATAACTGCAATGATTGTAGAGTTCCATTGTTTGGAAACCTTTTTGTAAAAGAAATATATTTTTAATAGTACCATTCTCAGTTGGACCGAGCCGGACAGGCACGAGCAATTTTTGGTCCAATTTCGAGGTCTGATGTACAAGTTTACAACAAATTGGACGCTAAGACAAATAGTCGCAGTACGAGAAACTAAAATGCTAAAAAAATTTATTAGTATTATTACAGAAAAATAATTCACATAAGTCGAGAAAATCACTAACAATCTATTTAAGGACAACTAATATTAGATATAAGTATAAGTACAAATGTTTAGTAGATCCTTCAAGTTGTGCAGGAAGCATTACACGAGAGCACATAGTAGTTGTTTAGAAATCTACTATAATCCATATAGTTTTTGTTTATTCTGGAGCATTCATCTATTGAAGTTTTCGCTATTTCAAAATACATATTGTTTTAGTCTTTTCGTAACATTTCGATGAATTGAAACGGTGAATGTCAACATTTAATTACCGTCTGCAAGCGAGATCCTCCACTTCTCCATTCCATGGAGTACAACTATATTTTTCACATACCGTCTTCACACTCACACTGAGCTATGTACGATTAAATCACATATGTATAAATTGAGATTTATAGAACGTAAAAAAGAATCATGCTTTTATTGTTGCTTTCTCCTGATGTTTATCCCTATACACACACGTTCTACTTTCACAGCTCCTGAAATCAACGCTAGATTTAATCATTTTAAAATAAATTTATTGATTTTAGTTTCAAAAACGTAAAATACATGGCCTTGAAAATTGTGTTAATGAAGCTAAAAGTCAATATCAAGAATCATTAAGAAATCTTGAACGTATTAGTAATGAAATTCATGATAAACGTCATCAAAACAAATTACAGAAAGAATGTGAAGAACAAATAATAGATGTAAGTGAATAACAATTAACTTATATACAAACAATATTTATCTTTCAATTTTCTATTTTCAAAAATAAAAACAAAAAAAAATCTACAACAACTATAGTTTGTCTTTTTTTGTCTTATCTTTTAGAGAAGAGAATCATTATCAACATCACTTCCAACTAGTAATAGTCCAAGACTATCAATACGAACAAATTATTCAGATGATATGCTTCGTTCATGTTTACTTCGTACAGAAACTTTACCACCTGGAATATTTACTAATATAAATGATCAAAATTCATCGGAATACGATGAAACAATAAAGAAAACAGATGATATTAATAATCAATTTATTCTTTGTCCAAAAGGTGCACCACGTATAACTATTTTAACGAATCCCGAACAAGAAGCAAACAAATTAATTAATAGTGCTCGTGACAGATTACCAAGTTATTCATCACAAATATCACAAAGTACAACAGATGATGAAGATGATAGAAGTGGATCATTTAATCTTATATCTGATGACCAACTTGATCATTTAGCTTCTATATTTAATTCTTATGCAACCGAATTAACAATCCCAACAGGTACACGTGATCAGCCATATGGACAAAAAAATGATATTATATCAAAATCTTTATTTTATTAATTCATCAAACTTTATTTTTGTTGCTTTAATTATTGTTTTTATTATTTCGACAGAGTCAATGAACTTAGTTTTTAATAACTAAATTTTAAAATATAAGCCAAAACTCTTTTTTTTTCTTTTTCATAAATTATTTAAAAGTAATCGAGTCGAAAATTGAAAAAGAAAAAAAAAACAGTACACCGATGAAATTAATTCATTTTTACATAGATATTTATATGTAATGTGAATTCGTATTTTTTACTACATGAACCATTGTTTTATTTATTTTCTCGTTTTTTTTTTTTTTTTTTTATTTCCATTCGATAAACGAAAAATTTTATTATTTTGACAGAAAAAAAAAAGAAGTGTACTATCTATATGCATTTATTATATTTTCTTTTTTAATTATTATTTTACATTTCATCGAACCAATAGTTACTCCACACACATTAATTATTGTATCATTAGCATTTTTTTCCTATCTGTGATATTCTTAGTGATTATATACCGTTGTTCCTTCTTTTTTTTTTCTTGTCTGTATATTCATCATATCAGAAAATAAAGTTTCTATTCATAATATTTCCAAAAGTGACATTAAGACAAGTATAAATATATTTGCTTTAACTCCATTAAATATGAATGGTATCAATTTTATGCACAGTTTGACTTTTTACATCTATACATATATATTGTGTATGCCAATTGAGACAAGACATCGAATCAATTAGAATGAATACTGATTGGTCACACTAAGGTGTGATTGAAAAAAAAAACTGAAATAAGGTGGAGAAGTCATAGTTCTACCACTCAAGTGACAACAAGCTCAAGCTATTAAGAAAATTGATATAAATGAACTTGATTTTTGTTAACATAAAAATCAGAACAAGACATCTATTCATAATTGGACTAAAACTTGATAAATAATGATGTTCTAATAAGATCATCAGATGATTCTCACCAATGTATTTCTGTTTTCTTTTTTTTTTCACATATACAGATTGTTTTTTATTTTGTTTACTTTTGATAGAGGGAAAGAGAAGAAAAAAAAAAAGATAGCATAATACGATTAATAATAATAAGACAGAAGGTAGAGACATTGGTTACTAAAAAAAAAAAAAGAAGGAATGACGATGCAATTAAATCACATAAAAGAATGCTTATCTTTTCGAGTATACCGTGATTGAACATCCAACAGAATTAATCAATATAAAACCACTTGAAGAAATATAAAAAGATAATATTTTTCAATTATTATTTGATTCGATATAATTCTTTATTCCAAATTTTTAATAAATAAGAGAAAATTCGACTTTATATTAGAGAATATTATTGTTATAATAGAAATGAGATTAGAATTCAATAGTTCAAAAAATATTATTATAATGATCTCCTTAAAATATTCATCTAATGTTAAATGAAACTTTTTTCATATTATTTCATTAAATCAAAAATTCGTTGATTTCGAAAAAAAATAAATTTTTTATTTCATGAAGATTTATTCATTTTGTTGTTTCATCGTAGCCATGTTGAACACATAATCTTTCTTTAATTCATCAATAGCTACAAATTTGGATTGAAGATAGCAAAATTTGCATTCAGTTGATGGTGCCAGTCTTCCAATCCGGATGTTGGATTAGAGAAGCCCAATATCTACACCCATATCATCTGATCAAAAGAGTTTTTGTAACCTTGCAACTGATGTTAACTTTTCAAGGCAAGATTTCTTCAGTAAAAAATTGTTCAGAAAAGAAATTTATGTTGATAAAACGGAAATATACTCTTTTCATTTCTAACTAGTCGAAAGATTAAAAAATCTATATGCAGCAGAGTTCTAAGCAATGAAAAGAAACAGAACAACGATTAAAAAGCAAAAAAAGAAATATTTTATTGTACAATGCATACAAAGAAAATGAATTTGTTGTTTTTTTTTCCAGTAGTAGATTCAGGGGAAGAGCATGCTTGGCATTACCACAACTCGCCAATTCTTTTTGTTCTATCTTTATTTCAGATTAATTTTTCGATGAAATTTAACATTCTGATCGTATTCATATTTCTTCTTCCGTTACTGAAACTCACTTCTTGGACCTTCCTTTCCGAAGATTCTTTTTTTGATAATATGTTTTTCTTTTGTTATATAAATAATCTCTACAGTAAAAACTTACAGGAGAGATTGAATTGATTTTTGTCCTACTTTCATGAAACTGAATAAACCAAACATGATCTATCTCGCTAAAATTTTACTTCTTTATTTGTTTTGTATTTGTCAAACTCTAATAGAAGATCGAAGAATGTACCGAGTCCTGACAGTGACGACTTTATAGGGGAAAAAATCGTCCCTATCTTCTAAAATATTTTTTCAATTTTTCTCAGCAGAAAACGTCCAAAAATGAGCTAACACAACCTCTAATGGATTTCAAAAACATGTTTTGTGACTATGATCATCTCCCTTTTCGGAAAATTCCAGACCGCCAGTCAGTATACTTTTCACTTAGGACATTTTTTGAAAAATGTGCTTAATTTCGATCCAATTGCATCGGACATCCACATTATTTACATCTTACTCTTCAAAACTTGAAGGCTTAAATCAGCGATAGACATGAAACTGCTAAAAAAAAATCTAAAATACGAATCAACAATAAATGTAAAGTTTTTTAGACAATACGTGGAACAACATTCTTCAACTCACATCCAGTCAAATTTTGTACGTCAACTAATGTATTTTTACGTTAAAATTGTAATTATTATATTGAACTGCTTCTGACTTAAGCTAATTTTCATTTATAGAAAAATTATTTAAAAGAAAATAAAAATAGAGTTTTTTTTTTTTTCTTATCATTTGAAATCATAACTTTGATGAATAATAAAGATTCTGAAAACAAAATATTCTTTTCTTCTTCGTTATTCCTAACCAATAATATAATTTTTTCTTTCTTTAGCCAATAAAAATTGCTTACCTTTGCTTTCTCTCTCTCTCTCGCTCTCGTTCCTCTTGACGATTTATCGCAAAGAGAAACTGTGTTATTTGATACGAACATTGAATCATAAAAAAAAAAAGTGCAGTTATATACACGTCTACTTCTTTACAATATATACGAATTATCATCATCATCATCCATCTCTCAATTGAAAGAAGACAATTTCTAGACTTTTTTTTTTTTATTATTTTTTTTATGATTATAACATGTGACTAAAGTAATAATAGAAGGAGTAGCTCTATTGAAAAAGTTCTAATTTTATTACTACAACAATAATAATAAATAACATCTATTGATTATCCGTGAAATTATCATTGACGTTTATTACATCATCTTCAACACCTATAATCATCAAAATAAGTAAGCAATAATTTTTACTTTTTTTCGTTTACGACGAATTATCTCAAATAGATATTCAAGTATAAGAAAGCAATAAATAATATATTACCTATTTTATTAATTTAGAATATGAATAATAATAATAATAATAATAATATACACTATTCATCAACAATGCCTAATGATCATGAAACAGGTACATCAGGTGAATCTTTACGCATGTTTGATCCATCATATCATCCTTATCCTCCACAAGCAAATATTTATTCCGATTATCCAAATGCAACATCGAAAATAGAAGCATTCGATTATAATTATTGGCCAACGCCAGCAACTACAACACATAATATTCTAACAAATCCAACAATTACAGTTCTTGATCAAACTCAATCATCATCCTCATCCTCATCATCATCTTCAAATCCAACAATTGAAACACTTGTACCTGTTTCATCTGTACAGTTATCACAATTAAATACATCAGCTACTATTTCTGCAACACATCATCATCATCATATTCATCAACATCTTTATCCACCATCACCACCAACATGTAATGATCCATCAACATGGCTTGGTTCAGGTAATTATCAATCCTTACATCCAACAACAAATCCATCATCGTATCGTCATTATACAACTCCATGTCCATTTTATTCATCAAATAATTTCTATGATTCATCACAACCTCAATGGACACAACCACCTCCACCACCGCCACCAACAGCAATTCCAATTAAATTTGAATCATCTTATAGTCCACCATCATATTTTGAAAGATCAAATCATATAAATCATTGTCAAGAACAAATATCTAAAGATGAACCATCAAATTCACCTCAACATATAAATTGGCTTAAAAATGATTCATCATCAACACAATTAATTCAAATACCACCAAAAAATCCATTGAACGGTAATCAATTGACCTTTAAATAAAATAAAAAAGGAATATGTTAAAAGGGCATTGATTGAGAAACATGCGCTTCCACATTGGTGTTATACATATAACATGATTCGAGTGTAAACATACGATGGGTAACAATAATGTATTTGATAAGTCAATTTTGTTTGATTGATTTTTGTAAGAAGAAAAAAAAAAAAAAGAATGTCGAGTGCCATAAAATGGTACTGCAAAACGTGGTAGAGATTTTTTTTTTATGACTTTCAATTGTTGATATACCTATATGAAAGATAAGGCCAATCTTGAAGCTTAGACAAAGAAATATATGAAGAACAAATTTCTTATAGTTAAAAACAGGTATAATTCTTTGCTCTTTTCTATACATAGGAAAAACACGTACACGTGATAAATATCGTATTGTTTATACAGATCAACAACGATATGAACTTGAAAATGAATTTATTATATCAAAATATATTTCAATACCACGTAAATCAGCATTATCATTAACATTATCATTAAGTGAACGACAAGTAAGAAAAATAATAAAGTTTGATTTAGTTTTAATAAAAAAAATAATAATAATAATTTTAATATAGATTAAAATTTGGTTTCAAAATCGTCGTGCAAAAGAACGTAAATTAAATAAAAAACGACAAGAAATATCTTCAACACGTCAATTAAATAATTCTAATGATGGTGATTCACCAAGTGATGGTGGTCTTGAAAGTCCAAATTATTATCAAAATTATGCGTAATTCTATTTATTTCTTCTAAAGAGACACATTTAATACTTCTTTTTTTTTTTCTTTTCTGTTTTTTCTTTTTTTTGTAATTTTCAAAGAGTCTTGAAAATAATATTTTGATCGTAATGTTTTGTTTTGTTTTTTTTTCTTTCGCGTTTATATCTACTGAAATAAGAATAGGATATCATTTGCATGTAACAATAATGAAGAACATATATTATTTCTTCCTTCTTTCGACCAAAACGCTCGTAGTACAATGTATGATGAAAACACTGAACGGGCGTTTTCCTTTCATATATATATATATATATAGATACGCTCGTTTGTATGAATACCTCCAGGTATTATCGTCCGAATGGACAAAAAGAAAATCAAAGAGATGTTCATCAGTAATTTATCTCGGTCGTTCTCGCTCTCTCTCTTTTACATCGTCGGCCATTATGCATGCTAGTATAAGAGGACAGATATACACATACGTACACATTCTGTTTGACGTCGACTTGTTTTCTATCTGTTCACAACAACATATACCAAACAATGTCGTTTATAATGTTTGTCTCTATTTAATATATTATTAAAAAAAATATATCATTTTTTTTTCTTTCCATAGGTCACATGATTATCAACAACAACAACAACAACAAGCGAAAAGTGCTACTGCTCAGATGAATTTGAATGTGCTTAGTTGTCTTGGACCAGATTTTGATAAGCAAACAGTATTCAATTTGCTCAGTGATAGTAATTATATTGAATCAAGTTTAGCACAATCTATTACATCAAATTTGTGGACGTCTAGTCCATCTCAATGGAATCATACATTAATACAAGAAGCACCTGTTTATACACCACGCTCAGTAATGAATGAACTTGAACCTCAATCACCTACAAGTGCTGCTATTAAACGGCCTCTTTCTGATGTTAGCAATCGAACGATTGGTAAAAAAAGAAAAAGTTTTATTTAATTTAAAAATTTATCTTTCTTTTTTTTATATTTAGTTGGTCGATCATTAACAAATAATCAACCACCACCGAAATTAGAATTTTCAACACCAGTACGATCATCTATATCTGATTTGTACAATCGAGTACCATCATCTATTAAACGATCACGTCTTGCACCGACCTTTCTTGCTTCTACTTTGTCACACGAAACATCACCACCAACAAAACAATTGCCTTCCGTAACATCAACAATCGATACAAATGAGTAAGTTATTTTCTATTGATACTATTCTCGTAAATCTAACATATATTTTGATTATTCTAGACGAACTTTAGAAATTGCTCTTTTACTTAAAGAACATCCAGATTGTAGTTGTGTACTTGTTACACTTATTCAAGAATATCAAAGCCGGTAGAAAAAGAAAAAGTTTTTTACAATATAGAATGTTTCATAAGTCTTGAGGCACAATAAATTTAGTTTATATGTAGAACCATGAATACTCGTGTCAGTCTTTCAAATGACATATTATTTGGATAATATTTTCTTTTTTGTAATAATAAAAATATAAACATGAGAATATGTGAAGATAAATTTTTTTCAATCGATCAACATGACTTTTCAAATAAAATGTTGAACAATTCTACATCAAAAATAGCGTAGCCAAAGCTAATAATTATTTATTCGATGCTCATTACGATCTACTGGTTAAATATGTTCAGCCGAATTATATATTCAGTAACCGAATTGAAATGGCGTGCAGAATGAAATACAAAGAACAATGATTGAAGCTTTTTTTTTTTTTATTGAGTTTTACCTCAAAGAAGATGACACTAAATTTGCTGACATGTGGCTCACTGAATATTAAAGGACAAAGTACGAGAAGAACAATTTTAAAGCTTTGAAAAGATAAAAAATAGAAATATCTTCACATATTTTCATATTTATATTTTTTATTATTACAAAAGAAGATCTTATCTAAATAATATATCATTTGAAAGATTGATACGAATACTCATAGCTCATATATAAAAAAACATTTAGTTAAGAATTATTTTTTGTCTACATATAAAACTAATTTAGTTGTGTTTCAAGACTTATGAAACATCTTGTAAATATTGTTTTTTTTTTTTTATTAGATTTCAAAAACCTCTTCATGTAAGTGAATTATATACAATGAAACATGTCATTGATATTCAAGATTGTGGAGGTAATCGAATTGCTCGTCTATTACCAGCATTTCGTGTTCGTTTCGATGAAAATTATATACATGTATGTAATTATATATTTTTGTATTATATTTTAATCAATTATTATTTAATTTTTAGACTCAACTTGAACAACCTTATTGTATAATACATTGTTTAAAAAATTTTATTGTTAATCCTGATCTTGATTTACCATTTATTCAAATTTCATTTCGAACATTTGCTGATAATGTTCGTCAATTATTAATTCAACATAATGGTTCAATGCCTTTAGCTAGGTAATAATTTAATTGAAAAAATTCTATTTTATATTTGAAAAGTTTATTATTTATAGTTTTCCTCAATGTTATTCACATAATTTTGAATCTTTAATTGATCATGATGATGGTGTACCAGTTGAACATTATATTTCATGTAAATTTCTTTAATATGTTTTTTGATTGATTTATTTTAATATTTTCTTTTCTTTAGGTATCAAAGATATTCAAATTGTAACTGGGCAAGGAGTTATTAAAAAAATTCAATTTTCTCATACTCCAGGAACATCATTTATGCCTACACTATTTGATACATCAAATAGTAAATGTTATAATTTGTTTTTGTTTTTTTTTTGATGAATTTATTTCGCTTTGTAGTGCATGTTGATACATGTGTTGAAGTTCAACAACGTTTACAACAATTTTCACGTGAAGTTCTTGATTTACTTAAAAATCAAGGTTCACATTGTCGTTTACCTATTTCAAAATTTGTTTCAACTTATCATCAATATTTTAATCGACAATGTCGTGTTGCTGATTATGGTTTTTCAAAAATTATTGATCTTTTATCTGCTATACCAAAATCAATTCAAGTAATTAAGAAAAATATTTCTAATTAAATAAAAATAAAAATATTATTTCTTCTTTAAATAGATACTTGGTGATGGAAATAAACGTATTATAACAATTACTCATCGATGTCAAATGAAACGATTTACTAATGATATTATTCGTATATTGAAAAATAAACCACAACGATCAATGTCAATTAGTGAAATTCCAATTGAATACGGTATGAAGAAATATTTATGTTTTCTCTACTAATGAATTTAAAGAAAAAATAATCAAAAAAAAAGACAAAAGTAATGACGATAACTTTTTTGAGATTATAAAATGATATTCACATCTTTCTGAGAAGGGATGTGACGATAAGGGAACAACCTATACTCATACTTACATCCTTTTTTCAACAACAAAAAAAAAGAAGGCAATGCTATTAGCACTGAAATCCTATATAATCTCATATAAAGATTAAATCAATTGTATAAAATATTTTTGTTTTTATTATTCTAGAAATAGCTTATAAAAAACCATTTTGTGTTGTTGATTTTGGTATGTGTTATTTGGAAGATCTTGTTAATGAAGTGAAAGATAATAAAGAATTAGTATTGGATGCTGATAAGGGTATTATTAAACTCTATCGTAAAGGTAATCTTTTTCTTAGATAAATTTAGAATAAATTAAATCTTTTAATTTAGAACGAACTAATTTAGAAATTTATGCAACTGGAAATTTTCAACAAGATGTTATTGATATGCTTCGTATTTTACCTGATTTTAGTATACCATTTCAAAAATTTATTCCATCCTACCAGTAAGAAAAAAAAAGTATTTTTTAACTTTTATTCTATAAATTTCAATATATATTTATTTAGTCATCATTTTGGTTATCAATGTAAAGTACAAACATATGGTTTTTCTCGTTTAATTGATTTACTTGAAGAACTTTCTGATGTTGTTAAAGTATAACATATATTAAATAATATTTTCAATTTGAAATAGAAATATGAACTTTTTTTTTTTTGTTTTTTAAATATTCAAATTAGATTAATGAAGATAAGAATGGTGAGAAAATTGTTCAATTAACATCAACTATGATAGGACATGCAATATTATTAAATATTGAACAACTTATTCAAAAATCTCATGGTCAATTAAAACTTAAAGATTTACGAATACAATATTTACAAGTTTATCGAAATGAATTGAATCCAGAAGATTATGGTCTAAGTAATCTTGAAACATTACTTCTTACCATGATCGATAAATTTGAAGTATGCTTTCATAGAAAAGCTTTTTTTTTTTTTTTAAATATGTTTATTGTTTTATTTAATGTTAGTTTCATTATACTGAAACTGATATTTCTATTTCAATCAAAGAATCAAATCCAATAATATTACAATTAACAAAAAATGTTATTCTTACATTGATGCTTTCTCAATGTCAATTATCTTTTTGGCAATTAAAACAAGATATGCTTGTTCATTTTAAACAAGATATTACATTAAATATGTGTCGTAATGAATTACGTAATTATGTTGAGGTTTATTTTTTTAAAATTTTGATCATATACCAAAAAAAAAAAGATATTTTTTTTTTTACTTAGGTAATCGATCAAACAATTCGTTTAACTCCACCAATGATTTTTGCTTATAATGTCGTACTTCTTTTAAGTCCATGTGATGGTCGTATGTCTTATGATGATTTTATTGTTGAATATCAACGACAAACTGGTTCAAGTCATTTACTCTATCCAACAGATTATGGTTTTCCAACAATGCTTCGTCTTTTTGATTCTATTCAACTTGTTGCTCAAGTTCGTGGTCGACGCAATTTTAAAATAATTATACTCAATCCTGAATTTCGACGTATGTAATTAAAGAAAATTGATGTTTTATTTGTTGAATATACATATTTTTGGAAGAAAATAATGAATGTAGGTTTAAATCGAAGTTTTTGCAGATCCTATTCTCTAATCCCTAGCAACGAAAGAAGAAAAGACTCATAGCCATTGGATGCGTTTTTATAGTAACCGAAGACAACAGACTTCAGACTCTTTTATCAGAGTTCCTTAGCAACAGAAAACAGTTCTGAACAAAACTTAAACTGTTCTAGAACATTCCAAAAGTTTCCTTGATATTTGAATAGCTGAAATACGTTTGTGAATGTTATAGATAGTGTAGTTTTTGATTTTTCCACAGATAAAAGTTTATATATTCAAGGGGTCAAGAATGATAGGTAGTGCTGTATAGGCACAAGAAAAAAAAATGTGTACTGATTAAGTTATAACTTTTGGTAATAATTAATATCAGTGTGTGTGTGAGTTTATCGAAGTATATAATGTGCTATAGATATGTACAACAGGTTTATTTGCTAGTTGAATCATAATGTTAAATTAACGGAGTATGAAAATGAGTAGCAACATGTCAAACAAAAAGTGGAGCACCAGTTAAAAAAAGCTGTTCACAATGCAGAAATAAATGAGACACATCGTTTCTCTAGCGATCGATTATCTATAGCCTGCAAAAAGTTTTTCACTTATGAGGAAATTATATGAACTAGTACTCACCGTTTGAGCTTTTGTCGGGTTCACAAGGTGGTCTTGACAAGATTAGAAAAAGCTTAAAGGGTTTATGCTCATAGACCTCTGGATTCAAGTTGTGATCGTTTCTCTGAATTTTCGATCCAACTTTAGGTATTTACCGAAACATCAAATAACAATATTTCGACTTAAAATTTTGTCCATAGATAGGACTCCTTGTAAATAGGATGTTCTCTTCATGGGATATTGAGTTCTTAAAAAAAAACATCAGATTCTCGAATCTTTCGTGGAATATGAGTGACTTTTAGGAATTCACTACCCCTCGTGAATGGAACATTCTTTCAAGGTGACATTGTCAAGACATTCTAGTTACAAGTAAGCCTATCTATAAGCAAAATATCATCCGTCGATTCTTTTGTACATACTGCGCCTACAGGCTAAAATTTTAGTACAATGACTATAACTCTGTAGGGAACATCTAGTAGTCCTTATCTTGTTGAAGTTTTTAATATCTCATTGGGATCTACCTTATGCACAAAGTCCGAAGTCAAAAGTGATTTTCAAGTTGGAAAGGTTTTCCTGTTAATAGAATGAGGCTAAAGGACATGTGAGTTCTATATTGTAGTCTCAAACGGACTGCATTGATAAATGTTTTTTGTTTTTTTTAAATAATTCTTCTTTTATTTTTAGTCGGACGATATACTCATCCGATAACATTTACAACACCAATAACATCGTTCTAATTATTGTTTCAATACTCGATTTGACACATCTACAACATCAGTTTTTTTTCTTTTTAGTGTTAGTTCGACATTCGAAAGAAGTTTATTTGATGCTTCTCTTTTGTTATTTGTGTCATATGTATTTTCATATAATATTTTGAGCTTTAATTTTTTTTTTCTCTAATATTACTGCTGCTTTTATTTATATTCATTTATTCATGTATCTTTAGACAAGATGATTGCGTTTCTCGTTTTGTTTTCTTTCTTGTTAAACAGCTGTATTGTTTATCGTTTAATTTTAACTAAAAACAAACTCTTTCGCTTTCTTTTTGTTTTTTTTATCCGTTTTCATCATATGTTTCTGTTTCACTCTGTTTAAATCGTATATAGACATAAGCATGTGTATTTATGTACGGTTACTGATGATGATGATGATTATTTTCTTTTAAACGAATTTTTCATGCTGATATTATAATACGACGTTTTCATATGTGTGTGCTTATATATAGTTTTTAACTACACGTTTTAACTACATTTTATTTTATAGATTAAAATAAAAAAAAAAGCCAAACTTGAATTTTTCTGTTTTTTTTTTTTTTTGAAAAGTTCATTTATATTTGTTGGTATTCATATTTTATTTATTTATATATGTTTATCAATACAATGTTTGAGAGACATTCATTAATCTTGATGTTTTTTTTTTGTAATTTTTGGTTCACTAAAATTATTGAAAACTAATAATTATTAATGAAAAAAGTCCTATTATTGTTTAAAATGTTTATGTTGATATAAGCGAAATTTCTTTTTTCTTGTGGTGTTTATTTATAGTTGATAATATTAGGCAAAAAAAAAAACGAGAGAGAAATATCAGTTATAATTATGAGATTGATTAATCATCTTCTTTTCCGTCATGTTCTGCTAATTTCATATAATCATCAATTAAATCACCAATAACATCACCAATTTCAGTATCAAATGTATATTTTTTTGATGAACGTCCTAAACGTACTTCAAGAAACAATGAAATAGCATTTGAATTAAAATTTAAATTATAATATGGAAATTTAGCAACAAATTCCTTGAAACGAAAGACACAAAAAAAAAGCAATCGATTTCAATTAAAATAAAATACGAATCTTACTTTTGTAGTTGCATCTAAAATCTCTACACCATTTTGATTGATACAAATATAAATATCTTCAGGAAATTCAGCTTCAGTTTCGTTCTGAAAAAAAAAAATGAAATAATTTTAGGTAAAATATTCAAAATAACATATTTGAAGTATTTAAGAGAGAACTTATGAGACCATCGAGAGCAAAATAAATACACCATTTGAAATCAACGTCAAGAGCTACAGTGAATCAAATATATTTTAAAGAATTTTTTTTTCCTGCGAAAAACTGATCACTGGGAGATCAAAATTTCAATAAAAAATATAGTCATAGGGGAATATTGGGATTTTTCATAGGAAACAAATTTCTCTAAAATTTATTTGATTCAATGTAGTTTTTGACGCTGATTACGAAGATTGCATTTATTTTGCTTTACAATTGTGTCATGATATTGAAAACTGCTAAAAATGTTTTTTGTTCTATTGAAAAGTCATTATCTAAGAGAGAGATATGAACCTCGGTTGTCCCAGAACGTAGGCATTTATTTCTAAATACTATTTTACTATTTTGTATTCTAATTAATAAAGTTACCTTAATTGGATACATTGTCGTACCATATGTTGGCCAAGCAGAAACATGTTTTAAAAAGCGAGATTTTGCTTCGTCTTCACTCACATCTCGAAGTGTACCGGACACCGTATAGATTTTCTAATAAATAATACACATATGAAATGTCATGAACATATCCTATATTCTTACTTTAGCCCAATCAGATGGTGATGTTGCTTTGACTAAATAGGCTGGAACAAAAGTTGCTAGATTTGCTCTAAATATTAATAAATTATTTTTGTAAATTTTGAATACAAAAAAAAAAATAAAATAATATTGACTTACTCAGGTGCTCCTTTGCCTCGATCAGCTCGACCTAATAAAGCAGCTATACCAGCTGCTTCCTCAACTTCTAATTTATGTAAACCTAGCATATAATTATCTCTTTCTTGATAAAAATGAACCATAGAATCAACTTGTTTATCTTCACCCGGTATAATATCAACCCAAAGTTTTCGACGAAAATGAACTTTATAATCAAGTTTTTCTATAAAATTATATATAAAAACAATAATAATAATCATCAATAAATATAATTCTTACTCTTATCATGACCACGAAGTTGTGTTAGAAAATCAAAAAAGTAAGTATTACTTGGAATACTAACTTCTGAAATATATATATATATATAATAGTGAAAGAAAAAATGGTTTATTTACCTTTTCTGCCTGTTTCTAAATATAATGAAAGTCCAGTTGCTGATGCTGGAAGATATTTAAGTTCTCGACAAATATTTGAAACTAATTCATTTGCTTTTGTTGTTGATTCAACAACAAAATCTTGTTCATGTCCATTTGGAAAATGAACATATTGACGAATTTTAACACGATTAATATTTGCATTACATTCAATAATATGTGGACCACGAACACGTTCACCTTGTCTAAATAAATTTAAATAAAGTTTCAAAAAACAAAAAAAAACAAAAAACTATTTACTTTTGAATTTTTTGAATACGAGTATAACATTCTAATGCTGTTGGATTTGAACTTGAACGAAGAAAAAGTATAACATGATAAAAAAGAGCTTTTGCAGGTACAAGAACACCCGTTAAAAGCCAAAGTAATTCCCAAAGACGTGTTTCAATTTTCAAATCAGGACAAAATGTTAATTGTTTTATCAATTGACAATATAATTCTTCTTTCAAAATTTTCTAAAATTATCATCAAATTTAATATTTATTTTTCTTATTCTTTTGTAAAATACGATCTAAAAAAAAGAGTGTTGAAAAATGCCTACAGACATCTTAATCTACTAGAGATGAAATCGATATGCCTTATTAAATGTTTTTGCTCTTAGTATCTCATAGAGAATGTGTAATAAACTTTGTTGAAAGTTGACTATATCAAATATCACTATCCACAGATGGCAACTCGCCAGTCTAGTATCGGTATAGATATCAGACCGATCGGTAGACTGTGATAGAAAGCCATGAGAACGTCACACAGAGGTTATTGATATGTGATGGTAGACTGTGTATCAATAACGTTTCGTTACAATATATGAATTAGTTCCATATTGCATTTCTGAAAGATTAAGTAAAAGGATGATGTATGTCGAAATAGAAAGCATAAACCAATATCCATGTGATTAGCAGCAATAACAACTACATCGTATCTTACATTTGAATCCTATGGAGATTACACAAAATAGATTTTTTAGTATAACTTACATTTTTTTCAAATGCATAATCAAATATACTATCTAAATCACTTTGTTGAATTTTTTTTCTTTGTTGTGGTGACATTTTTGCATAATTCATTATAGCACGAAACATAGATACAGCTTTAGCTGAAAGATCATTTTGTCCTTCAAAACGATGTAATAATGGTCCTTTAATTTCTGTTGCTTCATAATGCCATGCCGTTGTTTTTCTTGAACGAAAATATTTTTGAGCATAAGCTTCTAATGTATGTAAATTATAATGTGTTTCTGGTTCAATTTCTTGATTTAAATCAACAGCACGTTTCATTACATGTAAAACAAGACCTCGCTAAAAATTTTAATCAAATTTAATTATACAAAAAAAAAAAAAAAAAAATTTTTTTACCAAAATTTTTGATTCTGGTTTACTTGTACATGGAATAATATAAACAATATCAGCTGGAAATTCACCTTCACGATTTGTTCGATCATTTATACCTGTCATTAAACCTGCTTCAATATTCTTTTTACTTTCACTATCAAGAACAACAATATCACCACGAAGTAATTCTAATTTACCAGCACCTCGTTCTAATTTAAAGAAACAAATTAAAAAATTTTTTGAAAAATTATTTAATTTACTCGTTGGTTTATAATCTTTTCGAGCAATAGCTAATGTTGATCGATCTTTCAAATTTTGATGAATAAGACTAAGTAAAATTCCAAGATCAGCACCCACTATAAAGAAAAATATAATTATTAATTATTAAAATTCAAGACTAGGTGATAGTCTCAAAACAGCAAGGGAAGGATATATATATATAAGAAAATGTCAATAACAAATTCAAAAAATCTTGATTGTTTTACTGAGTAATAACAAGAGAGTTTTCAATAATTGCGAGAGTGTACATCCGTCCCTACATTCGCAGCCTCCTATATAGATTCATTACTTTACTTGGTAATGTAAATGTAAAATCTCCATAGACAGTATGTAAAGTATAATGATGATAATTTAAAACTGGATCACTAAAAAGAAAAAAATTTAATTAAATATTTTTCATAGAAATCTATTTAAATACTTACTGATCACCAATAATATCAGTAACTTCAGAATAGTTTATTTCTCCTAATAAAACATATGTAGTATCTGCATAGAAACGAATTTTATCTCGTCCAATAGAAATCGTTGCAAATGCAATTTCATCAATTAATGGACCTGAAAGTGCTTGTATTTGAAATACACGTGAAAATGTAATAGGCCATTTTGTTTGTGCATATAAAATAACATCTTTTTTAATTTCACGTCTTATTTGTTCACGTGTTTTAAATTTTTGTTTAAGTCGTTTTATAACACGTTTAAACTTTAAAATAAACAAAATTTTGTTCTTTTTTTTTTTTTTGTTTTTTTTACTTTCTCTCAATATTTATTTTCTTTGACTTACATCAGCATCTTTTTTAACAGCAAGTTCTACCATACTCTCCAATTGTTTTTCAGTGATTATACTTTTATTTTTTTTATTGAGTGATTTACCATCACCATTTTGTAGTCCAGTATATGATCTTGGTATAAGAGAGTATATAGTTTCTCTCATTTTATCAGGTTCGACATCTTTTCCATGAATTATATAATAATGTTGAACAGAAAGTAATACAAAT